TAGATTTAATTCAGAAAATGTATAATAGCTTATAATGTTTAATAACTTAGTATGTCCTCCAGAACTCTAAGTACACTGCTCTGACCCTTCTTGGCACTGAGTGTAGAAGTTCATGACAAATTTTCACATCTGTGCTGTTTAGCTCCTGGAGGACGACCTCCTTGAATGCTCTGATCTTTAATGGGGAGATATCTTCATTGTCATGCTGAAAAAATGCCCAACAATGCAGGGAATGAGAAGAGGGTAGCATCTTCAGTTTCAGGTTTTTGTATTACATCACACAGTGGTGTGTGAATTCATGCCAGCATTGATAAAGCACAACTCCCTCACACCTTCAGCACTCGTACATCCCTATATAAAAGCTTTACTACTACTGAACGTCACTGTGGGTACCAAGCACTTCTCTCTGTACTCCTCGGCCTTTCTTGAGGAGTGGCATTTTTCTTCCAACCCTCCCATTCAAGCCACATTTGTTGAGAATTTGTGATGTTGTCACATGCACACAATGACCAATCTTTGTCATAAATTCCTGCAGCTGCTTCAGAGTTGCTGTTGGCCTCTTGGTCGCCTCTCTGACCAGTTTCCTCCAGCTCTTTCATCCAGTTTGGAGCAACGTCCTGATCCAGGGAGGATCTGTGTTGTACCAAATACTGTCCACTTCTTAATAATAGACTTCACTGTGTTTCTAAGCATTGATAAAGCCCAAATTTTTTTTGTATCCATCTCCTGACTTGTGCCTGTCCACAACTTTAACCCAGAGATCTTTTGACAGTGCCTTGCTGCCCATGAGTTGATTGTTTGCTTCAGTTGCACTACCAAGGACTGAAATGCTCCAGAAAAGCTCTTTTCATGCTGAAAATAAAAATGACCACAGCTGATCACAGTTGAAAGTCAAATGGCTTTGTGTGCCATTGAGAAGTCAGGCTGCAAAGCAACAAAATGTGATTATTTTAAAGGGGGGTGATCCTTTTCTATACCCACTGTATATATATATATACTAATTTTTTCATCTGTCACTGCCACTTTTGATTAATTTAATGCTTAATTAATTTCTTTCTTTTTTTTAAATCCCCAAACTTTTGAATGGTAGTATACCACCATTCATGTTTAAGATTCTTTCTGCTCCTTCTGTTTCACAGCTGGCACTGAAACACAGACAGGGAAAGAACCATAAGATGAGGATCATTGCCTTTGTGGGAAGCCCTGTGGAGGACCAGGAGAAAGATGTGAGTTCTTTTTTCTTCATGTATCTTGGTGTAAAAGTTGCACCATATGAGTCTGTATTTACAAAGGCCAATGCAATGTGTTATTCAGCTGCTCATTTGTGTCTCCGACCTGTTTCACTCAGTTGGTGAAGATGGCAAAACGTTTGAAGAAGGAAAAAGTCAGTGTTGACATAATTAACTTTGGAGAAGAGGTAAACACATTATTCTAAGGGAATGTAGTTTATCACACTCCTCCAGAATGTGCTTCTCATCTTTCATGTGATTTTACTATCTGCACCATTTAGTTTTTATGCTTTTGCATTGCAGGAGGTCAACACGGATAAGCTGGCCATGTTTGTGAACACCCTAAATGGAAAAGAGGGTGTAGGCTCTCACCTGGTAACGGTGCCTCCTGGCCCGAGCCTGGCAGATGCTCTTCTGTCCTCTCCTGTCATGGCTGGTGAGGGTGGCACCATTATGGGCCTGGGTGCCAGTGACTTTGAGTTTGGAGTTGATCCCAGCGCAGACCCTGAGCTCGCTCTGGTGAGAAGCACACAGATTTTATGGGACAAACTTCTTGGCTAGAGATTTTCCACATTATAAATGTCTGTTTTCCCAGGCTCTGCGTGTGTCGATGGAGGAGCAGCGACAGAGGCAGGAGGAGGAAGCTCGCCGGGCAGCAGTGGCTTCAGCTGCAGAGGCTGGAGTCTCATCACCCACTGTAGATGGTGAGAGTTTTAGATGATTATTGAAGACTACATGAGGTTTCTTGAAACCTAATCTAGGGGTTCCTTAAAGGTGCTGCTGGGAGGGAGGGGAGGGGTTGTGGATTGATATACACTACCGTTCAAAAGTTTGGTAAAGTTTGGTAAACCCACCTCTGAAAAGTTACATTTTAAATTCACACAATTCAGGCAAACTATGACGATTATGAAAATATGTATGTATGCATGTCCCTAAACAGTGGTCAGATGGGTCAGAAGTAAGAGAGATGTTGTTGTTTATGCCATTGTAATAATTAACTAATTAAATAATATTCATATTTTGTTTGCAAATATAGAATTTGAGTTGTGTATAAGGGACGTTTCTCCATGCTCTAGATTGCAGAGTGAAACCTTTTGTTTATAAAAATATAAGTTTGTTTCATGGGAAGTATATGTTTAATATAAGGATGTAACGATTACCGGTTTGACGATAACTCATGATAAAATTCCCCACGGTTAGTATTACCGTTTCATCTTTTAATTATAATTAAAACTGTATTAGATTACCGCGATTTGAACAACTCGCGATAAATAAATACTGTCCAGCATAAAGCACAGTTTTAAGTAACAGTCTCACGTGCGCACAGCATGCAGAGTAGTTTCATTTTGAGTGAAAACAGGGCGGGAAAGCTGGAGGTTTTAAAAGAGAGCTAATGGAAATATACAAATTAATATATTAATGAATTAATTATATGAATGTACCTCTGATGGTTCTGACAGTCTTCAGAAACGATTCGATGGCATTTTGTTTTCATCTTCGCTCCTAAAGGAAGTGTTCTTAATCACAATGCTGCTTTGTCCACGGAGGTTACGGGCGGGAGCTCTAATTCAGCTTTTCCATAAGCGCCACCTGCTGTCAGAGAGTGGATTTACAGAGACTTATATGCACTGAAGAATAGGTAAAAATAATAACAATAATTTTATATCATGCAAATATGCATAGATTTATACTTACGTTTACATTTTACATTTAGTCATTTAGCAGACGCTTTTATCCAAAGCGACTTAAAAATGATCAGCGCCACCTGCTGTCAGCGAGTGGATTTACAGAGACTTATATTTACATTCAGCCTGTGTGCAGTTTCTGTCTGGCCAAAAACGGACCGAATTTGCATGCCCTGCTGTACATTTTGACCGGTTGATGAACAATAAGCTTATGTGGATTCTACACATTTAAACAATTCAGAAAAGTTATAAAATACATATGATCATTTATTAATCAAATATCATTTTGACTTATACCTTTTCTTTATTTAAAGGCTGAAATGTGAGGTTTACCCTTTTATGAAACTTTTTTCAAGCTTTATTTGAACATTTACATTAGATATTTCAACATGCTATTAAACTGTTGTCAGTCAAGTTGTCATTTAAAATCTGAACATCATTGGTAATGTTATTTTTTAGTGATTATGCAAACAAAAACTCATTTTATTTGTTGTTGATTTTTTAATATAAAACTTGGTGAAGTGATTTATGTGTCGGTACTTTTTGAACATCTCCAGCACATTTTAACAATACCGTGATAATACTGATAACCGTGATCATTTTGGTCACTATAATCGTGATAAGAAATTTTCATACCGTTACATCCCTAGTTTAATATGACCAGATGTCTTCTGTGCTTTTGTTAGAGTCTGAAAATGCCCTGCTGAAGATGTCGACAGCTCCTGCTCTGCCTGATTTCAGCCGCATGACAGAGGATGAACAGATCGCATACGCCCTACAGATGTCCATGCAAGGAGGAGGTCAGTCTCTGTACTCTTCATAAATTCTAAAGGCTTGTGCACACCGGGACGATTATCGCGCGCGATTATCGCCGACGTTTAATGCCTCGTAACTAAACAAAGGGCGCCAATGTGAGTGTGCACACCGGCGCACAAAATGGCATGCGTAAAAGCGTAATTTTTTTTTAAAAACGCCTCGGGCTCGTTTTTTTGGTTTGACGTGAATCGTTAAAAACTGGCCAACCAATGAGATTGGCGCTTTTGTTCATGTGCCTGGAGCTGCTGAAGTTACAGTAAAACATGACTTGGTGACGCTCAAGCACAAAACGGTCTTGCCGAGCACACAATTGATACCTAACGACGAAGAGGAAGTAAGTAGATGAAGAAGAAACATCAAGGCAAGATGAATGTAGAGCTACTGGTCTCATTGGTGTCTGAACACAAATAGCTTTATGACAAACGCGACAGCGAAGTCCTACAAAAATCTCAATAAGAGGGAGTTGTTATGGAGAGGAATTGCAGAACAAATAGGATTCGATGTGTACCGGGGTATTTCTGTTTTTCATTAAGCGCCATCTAATGTCAGGGAGTGAATTTGCA